ACAAGTGTGAAGCAGACCGTCTAAATGGGCTGTGAAGTGTTGACAGTGCCGAGCTGAATCCTCTCTCCCTCCCCTCCCTGGGTGGAGGGAACATCAGTGTTCAGGGAAACATGGTTAAACTTAAGGCCTTCATGGCTTTGAGTAAGCTGCCGTGCAAAAAGGTGTCCAACAAAGTCGTAATAAACTCATAACAGTTGTTGGCAGCTCTTGCATAACAGTGCTGCCTTGGCTACATGATAATAATGTGATATCCCTGATTAAAGCAGCGTTGGAGGCTTGAAGATGATGTTTGAGGTCATTATAGTAATGAAAGACAGCCCCGGAACAGATTGGTAGTACCAGCCTCAAAGTGAAGCCTCTCATTTTCACAAGTTTTGTTAGTTTCCCACTTTAATAAGAGCCAGAGGAGATGGTGAAATATTACAGTCGACTGCTGGGACTGTTTCAATTATGGCAGTGGGTTAGTGATCATTGTCCAAAACATTTTTAATGTTACAGTGCAGTCTGATATTAAAACCAGTCATCAGCACAAAGGGAGTGACTCAATTTATCACACCTCCCTCTTTATTTCTTGAGTTTTGTTTTGTTTTTTATGTAGAACTTTCAGGGCCAAATCACAGCAAAATTAATTTGCACATTCATTTAGTTCAAAAAGCATTGTGAAAAAAGAAAAACCCAAACTGCTGTAGCTGCTGAGCTAACACGCTAGCGAACCGGGACATGCAAATGCTTCCTTCTATTGTTCCGAATCCACTGATCGCTTTGAGTCCGGGGCAACCAGGTCTTTAGACCTATAGACTGCTAATGATTAATGTGGAAGTGTAGGCTATTGCTTATTTTAATGATTGCCTCTGCCATTTGTATTTCATAGAAGACAGACTTATGCCCTCAGTGGAGGTTGGAGCTCTGAGACTGCCCTTCTAGTTATTAATGTCTTGCATACCTCACAGCTGTGGTGGCCTAATAATCTTCTAAAGCATTGAAGGATTTAGTGGCTGTGAAAGAAGTGACTGACATTTGACTGGTCCAATTGTGGTCATGTGTTGGAAAAATGCATAGAATCGTGTCAGAGCGAGTTATTGTGTATGATAGAATAATACAAGGCTGTGGTTATCAGAGCAGCCAAAGGCAGGTGTCGGAGTACTTAGCAGGGTTTTTAATTTAGTTTCTGCTCATTTGATATGGATCTTGGCTTATTGGCCTTTTGGGAAGTGATGAGATAAGAGAGACAAGAGAGGCCATGTTATTTCTTGTAGCATTTCCAGATGGAAGGGTGCCAAATAAAATTGTCCCACATCTTCTCACAGGGTTTTAAATTTTTTCCTGTCAGTCAAGTCACAATAAATGTTGCAACATTATTTGTTAGAGGATGTGCTTACTGACCAGCTGGTTTTGTCGAGCGTGAATGAACGTATCACTTTATGGTTCCATCCACATTAACACACGGCCCCCTTTTTGTTTCTGGTTGATTTAGAGCAATTCTTTATGTTTTGACTCACTCATCCATGTCACACAGGGGGTTTAGTACTGGTAGCGTTTCAGGAGTTATTTTGATATCCTAAAGGGCCAGAGCGGGCCAGTTCTCGTGCCAGGTCCACATGCCTCTAATGATCTCTGCCTGGATCATGAAGTCATGTTTTTAATTGCAGCTGCCTCTCTTGGGATAAAAACCACACATTTGTTTCATAGTGGCCATACTGTTTTGTGGGGCCCGAGATTCCACTTATTAAACCATAACCTAGTTTTCATAATTCAATTTTAACGTTCTGCAAAATGCTATTATTCCCCTCAAACGGCCTATTTTCTGTCTCGTCTGGAAGCCGAAACCAGGAGCTGCATATGATTCACTCAAGCCCTTCGTGTTGTTTTAACATAGTGAGTTGTCGGGATGGGCAATTTTTCTTTCCTTTACGGCTTGAAAGGATCATGGAAGTCATTCAAGGTTTCCAGAAAGGTCTAAAACCCAGTGTCTCCCCAGAGTATAATTACTCTGCCTAATTGTAATTTTGACTTCATGCGTTGCCATGTAGGAATGCTTTTAGCAGTTTGGTTCCTCCAGATTGCACTCACACTTTAAGATCCTGTGCTCTGCACGTTTTTCAGCTTAAGTCATAGTAGTGAATGAGATTCGAAGAGTTAAAACGCTACATTTAGTGATTATATGTTGTCTAGGCAGTATAAATATTGCTAATAGGCAGCATGTTCAAAAGTGATGGCAGTTTGAGTTTATGATACGTTTTTGCATTTTAATGATTTCCATGACCATGCTGCAGCTTTCCAAGACATTATTAACTATTATTCAAACCATATACTTACATGCACTTTATCTTGGACTTTGGTTCAAAGAGAGGCTGGCTGCAGGGGCCCCCTTTTTGGGCTGATGTCCTGTTTATGTGGCCCCTTTTCTGATTGATATCCCATCCCACCAATGTTTTGTTGTCAGGATTAATCAGGGTTATGGTCTTGTAGCTGGCAAAAGATCTCATTAGGTCATGCATTAGTTTGTGCTGATAAAAGCACACTATGTCTCTGGTGAGAGATGAGGCTCTGGAAAAGCACAAAGTTGCATTTGAAATGGGCCAGATAAAATGTTCTGGAGTAGGAATTTGTGTTCTTTGACGATCTGTCATTTCACCAGTTTGTCTAGTCTATCATTTAGAGGTCCGGTCAGTTCGGTATCTGAATATTTAACATGAAAACCACAGGGTGCACAGTGAAATGATTAATGATTGTGTTCAGAATCGACCCTCAGTTATTTTGCGTGTGAGCCTGCATGTAATGTGTTTGCACGTAAGCACTGTAGGAATATTAATCTGTTTTTAAATGTGTGTGTCTTTTCCTCAGTGGAGCAGGTTCCCGTGGAGGCCTACACAGTCCCACTCTCGCAGGCTGAGATTCTACAGGAAGGGAGTGATGTCACCCTGGTTGCCTGGGGGACACAGGTAGGCGATCCTGTGCATCATTGACAGACTCTCTGTGGGTGACCTGAGCAGTTTTAAGTTGTTCTCTTATCTTTGGATCATTTTCCATGGCCACAGGGAAAAAAGGAGCCCAGTCATCTCTACTAAATGACTTTTAAAGCCACAGATACAAGCAGTGGATTAACTTTAAATCTATCACAAGCCCCCTCTGTCGCATCAGGGTCTGTCAGACTCTGGCTGTATCAGACATCTCCACAACATCAAGGCTGTTCTTGGCTCTGTGTGTTAACACTACGTGTCTGCTGCACACTTGCCATTGCCTTTCTATTCATCCAAGAGATTTTATTTTCTAAAGCTCTGCATCAAGGTGCCTGTAACTCATCCGAAGTCATCCCCGACTTTGATTGTACCCAGCCACTTAAACAGGCTTATCCAGGCCGTAATGTACCTAGAGCACAGGAGGGGGTCTGATGCCATTGCGGGCAAACTTCATCAAAGCGAGTATTATTGTTGAAGGGTGGACAGACAAGAACGAGGATCTGGTAAAGTAGTGGAAAGCATGGCTCTTCTATTTGAAACGTCACTCTTCTTTCCCACCTCATTACACCCCTCGTCTGTCAGGCCTGTGCAGATGAGTGTAAAGAAAACAACTAGCGCAGAGTGCTGTGAACGGATCAGTGTCCAATCCTCAGTTTCTGATCACCCAAACAGAGGACGTTCCCCAAGTCTTAAAAGTCTCTACAAATATTTTCTCCCTCAGAAAGAGCCACTTTATCTGTTGAAAATAATGTAATGGCAGCGTCATTCCAGGATAAATGCACAAAGTTACTGTGCTTCTTTACTAGCTTGAGGCCAGGGCCTGTATCTTTCAATCTGGCTCAATGGTTGACAACTGTTCTAGTTGTGATGATTCAGATTTATCACCACGCTTTTTACTTATTTATTTTATTTTATTTCTTATTTAGAAGCAGCCAGCAATGCCTGCCAGTTAACATGGACTCAAGTGAACTCAAGTACTTTATTACACAAATTATGAATTAATGAGAATAACTTGTGCGCCATGTTTTGAGGTTTAAATAGCTGTTTTCAACTTTCTGTTTATTAGGTACTGATCTGTGAGAGGCTGTGCGTCCCTTGGTAGAAAATATAATAAAAGTTAGTGCTGTATTGTTCTTGTTACCTTACATTATTTACCTCCAGCGTAGCACATAAAAATAAGCTGATGTCAATGGGTTTTTGTACATTTATGGTTACATGTGTAATATATGTTGTAGGGCTTAGACCAATTCTTATAAATTACACACTGGGGGGGGGGGGATAGGAATAAGCTTTCAAGCTTTTCCACAATGCAAATAAAGCATCTTTCTATTCTCTGTACTGTATAGCAGTTTATGTTGCAGTTTGAATATCTCAATATGTTTAAGTGTAATGTGGTGCCAAAATTAGCACCACCCGCCAGCCAAATGGCGCTAAAATATGCAACTGGCCTGTAGATATGCTTCACTCACCAGCCAAAAAAAACAACGGTCATCTATTGAGTGGCTGCTAATATTTGAACATTACTGGGCATTCGGCTGATACACAAAAAAGTTCATTTTGCACCCTGGTGCCAATACTGTGCAGTGGCTATTTAGAGCAATTTTGCAGCAATTCTGTGTGTCATTGATGCATTTACATGACTCTATTGTACGACAACATAATTATTTGTTTGTTTTTGGGCATCCTGCAGCATCTTTGAAATAGTATTCACAACTCAGATTGAGGCTAGAACTAGGCTGCTTGTGTTCTGTGAAATATTGCATATATAAAATGTACATGTTTATTATCAAGCACCTAAGATTTTTAGTGCAGACGTGTAAAGAAAGAGTTTGTGTTGTAGCAGGTAGGAAATTCTAGCCTAACAAGCATTCACTCTTTAGATTTTAAAGGTATTCTTCCTTTCCTTTTCCCCTTTAGGTCCATGTGATGAGGGAGGTGGCCGATATGGCTCAAGAGAAACTGGGAGTGTCCTGTGAGCTAATTGATCTACAGACCATCCTGCCCTGGGATGTTGAAACAGTTTGTAAGGTAACAGAGACACAAACATACAATCACAAATACAGCCGCCTGAGCAAGAATGCATCTAGAGACTGACCATCAAGTAAAGGAAAATTCTTACACTCATTCTCTGCTGGGAAACTATTTCATTTATTGCTGTGGCCTTTCTTTCTGGTGCTTATTAACCAATATTCTAAAATTAGTTTGGTATCATAGTCTGTTTATATCTCTACAGTCATGTTTGGTCACAGACTGTGTATCCATGTTCTGCCTTCCCAAGTGATTATACTTCCATAAATCATTTGGCATAAATAATGTTGCCATTGAAGAGCTGTTGATCTTTGGACTCATCCTCCTGTAGATGTGTCTATTGTGGTGCAGAGGCGATGTTCTTCTGTTCTATGTGGTTGTCTTTGGTGCTTGATCAACAGGATTCCTTCCATAGCTGGTAAGGCTGGACTACTAGTTGTGTTGCCTCAGCCTTACACAGGCTATGGCACTCACCAAAACAGAATATTTCATTTTGAAGGGCCTTTTGAAGGAGTTGCTTTCCAGTGGGTATTCCATTTGTATTTTTTATTTTTTTAAATGGAGGAAGGAGCGCGACGCAAGACAGTTTGGGCAATAGCGGCATAAAAAGATTATTTCCTGGTCACCATTGGTGAGTGTGAGTGTACTAAACCACCAGGAAACCAGCAGGAGAGAGTCTGATGTTTTGAAAAGCTCTTTGAAAATGAAAACCAAGGCGTGTGTTAAGACAGACAAAACTTCAGTCTATATACATCCTCTCCACTCTCAGGATGCTGCTTTTTCAGTAGCGCTAAATCAAAGCGCTAATATATTTCATGCTGTATTATTGCATCAATGCAGCTCCTTTTTGCAGGATCACCAGATACTTTTTAATTTTGCATATTTATTATCCAATTTTTCATGCTTGTCTGGTGAAACATAAAACTTTGTCAGCGAGCACCATGCTGCTCCCACTGCCAAACAAATCTCATAACGAACAGTTAAGGCACAGGATAAAATTGCGGTATGAGGGTAGTAATTTAATAGGGAGTCAATTGGAACTGATGGCAGAGACTGTAGTATTGCGCTGGCACTGAAGGACTTGCAGCTCGAAGTGAGCAGTAGTCAGTTACAGATTGTTTGTTCAAAGAGGGGACTTCTCAAGTGAATGTGGTAATTCTTTCTCTCTTTTTTCTTTTTTTTTTTAAGTAGTGCCCCATTAAAACAACTGCCATGAAATTGAATAGAGTGTTTATGTGCTGCTTAGTGGGCCTAAAGCCAGCCCTGTCACCTTGGGCTTGTCAACATCTCTCCTTGTCATTTCCTTTAACCAAATGCCCTCTCGGATGTCTGTCCATTTATTAAAAACCCATAAACCAATTTCCCCACAACCCCCAAATACACACACATACTCACAGATCCTGTTCCCTCTTTCATATTTGGCAGTTAAGTCACTGTTGCGATACACTGGTATCCCTAGAGCGCTTTTTTTTTTCTCCATTGAGACTCTTTTTTTGTGTACTCTGCTGGTTGAACACAGAAAGAGCCTTTTAATCCAAGCTATTATCAGATCTCAGTGAAGGCACACAATTAATTTTAGGCCAGATCATGATTGCATAGGAATGCACATTGAGGGCTTTTATTTATTATTATTATTATTATTTAAATGAATCTGAAGCGCATAGGGAAATATCCAGATGTACATTCGTCCGAATGAAAACAAATGTACGTGCTGTTAAGCTTGCATAAGACTTGCAAACTTCAGTAAAAGATGGGTCAGCACAAAGCATCAATACAATATCTTGTCCTGTTCCTTTGATGCATACAAGGTGCTGAAGGCCTAACTGTGAGATAACCTCTGGTAGACATGTAATTGATTAGTTGTATAGATTCTAAAAAGGTCTCTGCTTCCAGCTGCTCAAATGTAAAGATTAGTTCATTTTCTCTGTATTCTGTTTGCCTCCGTCTTTTTTTACTGTTTGTTGAACGAAACCAGAAAATTGAAGATTGTATTGAAGGCTTCTGGGAAATTGAGATGGGTATTTATGACTATTTTCTCTCTATTTCTGCAATCACCTTCTTTCATACAATACATTTAACTCTGATCTATACTGCTGTATGCTGCTGCATACTTACCAAAAAGACGTTTTATACTGCATTGACTGTCTGCATAGGCACACCTGTTCATACCTTTGCCTTTGCGTACAGTCCTTTGCAACCATGCACATGCCGAAAATTTAAACTTTGGCGTAAATGCATTGTGCAAATGAAAAACCCGGCCTTTCGTGTCCTCAATAACCCTGCACAGTGGTGTCCTAACTACTGGGTGCTGCACAGCTGCTCCGAGCTGGCATGACATCTAGATGGTTCTGTGGCTGCAGCTCTGCCAACGCTCAGACATTAAGAGTTTTGTCACACAGCAACCCACCCATGCAAAACTAATTTAAGTGTAATATCTATTTAAAGCACCATTTTAGGGCTGCAAGTAATGATTATTTTCAGTATGGATTAATCTCTTAATTCTTTTTTATGATGATAGTGAGAATAATTTTTTTTAAAATAACAATAATAAAATGGTAAAAAAAAAAAAGGTTCAGCTGGAAGTTCAAAGTGATCAAGGTCAAATTGCCTCTTTTATCTGGACAGCAGTTCAAGATATTCAATTTGCATTGATACAAGATGGAGAAAATCAGCAAATCCTCACAGAAGCAGGTCGATTAATTTATTAGTAACATTTTACATATTATGGCAAGACAACAGTCAACGCAGTAGTTCAACAAGGGCTTTTCCTTTTTTCTTAACTGATGATACCAGACCATAATAACAGTATTAGAAGTAGTAGAAGCCTAGATTATATTTTCATCACTGTATGGCTTAGTAAATAAATGGTTAAGAGTCAGTGAAGCATTTTGTAAAGGTTGTTATCCTCTGATGAATAGAGTTTTGGGACTTGAGCTATTATTAGCTTTAGAGAGGGAGTAGCCAAGACATGGTGTCAACTTCTTAATTCAAAAGATTGTACACCTGGTGTCCAGCTTTTCCGGCATGCACACATCTCTGTAAAGCTGGCCTTTTGTACCGCTTATTAACTGGCCGTCAGATGCGGTGAGTGTGCAGACAGTGAGATAGGCCGCAGACGCACATCCGGCTGCTGGCAGCCAATTAAAATTTCCTGTGAGTCACATTTACCTCGCATATCTTTCAGTCAAGGGTGTGTGTGTGTGTGTGTGTGTGTGTGTGTGTGTGTGTGTGTGTGTGTGTGTGTGTGTGTGTGTGTGTGTGTGTGTGTGTGTGTGTGTGTGTGTGTGTGTGTGTGTGTGTGTGTGTGTGTGTGTGTGTGTGTGTGTGTGTGTGTGTGTGTGTGTGTGTGTGTGTGTGGCAAGCTGTTTTTATATGTAACCCGCATGTTGTTTTTGAGCGTGGATGTATAAAATAAATGAAGAATGATGTGTCTTTCAGCATGAGAGATCATTAAGGCAGGGCTCTGGAGGAACATGCCATCTTTCTGTTTCCTGAGGGATCCATTCTGGCAGCCACCAGCTATACTTGGATCTAAATATATTCAACCCTCTCGTTGACAAAGGGAACCATGGGCAGAAATTGCTGTAAGCATAGAGAAAAAGTGAGTGTATTTTATTTTGTCCCGCTGTCTAGAGCGGTCCAGTAAATTTAATAGTTGTTCTTTAAGGGATAAACAAAATAGCTGGGTTACCTCTGCCAGACCAATGGCTCAGATGATATTCTGCGGAAAAGTCTCCCTGTCGTGCTTGGTCAGAGTACGTGTGGAGATGTAGTTGTGTAAAGATGCTCATGTAAGGAGCACATGCTGCATAAGAGCTTTTTGATTCATCACTGAGTGGTCTGCTAAACCCCCTTATTGTTTAATGGTTTTTGTTGTCCAGATATGCCAGTGAGCCAACATTTCCGTCCGTTCTTACGTCCACATTTGTTTGACTTGGCTTTCAGATGGTCAGTCAGCAGTACAAAATAAAAATCTCCATTCTCATTATTGCATTAGTCGATCGTTGCTGATTCAGCCTCATTCTCAGGTTTTCCAGATTCCAGATCCGGCTGGCGAAGAATCAGAATGGCTCGCCAAGGCCGGTCCGCAATACAGTCATTGGTTCTTTAATCATGATTGGAGACGGCACTTCCCACAGCACCACACACGGGTTCTGTTGGGCAGCAGCTTGTGCACCCGGGATACCTCATGGACCTCGACAAAGGTCACTTACTGTAACTTCTCAACCATGCGATTGCTCTGTCCACCCCTGTATACACATCTGTCCTTCTGAACAGAACTGTCCAAGACAACGCCCCTGGCATGAATTGGCTGATGTGGTCAAGATGAAGTCACAGTATTTAGAAAAGCCCCACAGGACTGCTCCAAAGTCCTTGTCTGCTTGTCATCAGTAAAAGTAAATCATGTCATGTCAAATTATGCATTTTCTATTTTACTAGAGGCTTGTGGACAAATTGGATTGTTTTTTATCTCTAGGGTTGTCACTTTTTTAGGAAGTCATTTGAAATTAGTTTGAACTTAAAATGTATTTTTATATGCTGTATGAATGAATTCAAATGCAATTCGTATAGCATGTTTATGAGATTCTGATGAGAGTCCAGAGGATAAGTGTGGTGGTAAGTAGTCAGACAAGGTTGTACAGTTGGCATTAGTCCACTCGTTTCTGAAGCCTCCGCTGCCTTACCTGGGTGGCAGCTAGTGGATGAGCCCTCAGATTCATTGACGAGGAAGGTGGATGCAAAGTCGGCAAACAGCCATATCTTTGTTGGTAATATTACCATCTATGCTGCACTTACACACACTGCTTCTCAGATGCTTCGATGTTGTGATTATCCAATCGGCACAGCTTTGCTCCTCCCATTTTTATTTATTTGCTTAGTTTACTGATCAACAGAGCACACAATAGATCAAGCTGAAGTTTAAGAGCCTCTGCTGGAGCATGAGGCCAACTACATCAAACAGTCTCTTGTGCTTACAGTTCTAATATTTCATTTTGTCCCTTGTTTGAATTTTAAATAAAACATGACAGCCTAATCGCCTCCTGATCGCTGTTTTATAATGCTGGAAGTGAGGTATGAACACTGCATTTGTGAATTACTGTACCAACCTTACAATCGAGAGTTGAAAGTACTTCTCTTCCTTCTTTTTCTGAATGATGAAGGGTCAACTTCTCAACACTAATACTTTTACTAAAAGGTAACTGCAAAAGATGAAGTGGGCCAACAGGCTGTCACTGTAAGCAGTGGTATTATCTTCTGGGGAAAGAAGTTGTTTTTATAGCCTCTGTTGTGTTGGTATCTCTTAGTTACTCTCTCAGCACAAAGATCAGTATGTCATTTTTCTACTTGTCTTCCCATTTCTGCCTTCACTCTCTCTCTGTATTATTGGACTCATCCCACATATTTTTGTTCGTTTCAACCACAGGGAGTAAGTTAGTCGGGGCATGTCCTCTTAGCAAGTCTGTGCTAGCCTGTGAGTTTGCAAGCCCCATCTGCTCCTATAAAAGTCATACTTCATCCGAAGTCTTTTGAGTATCAAACACACTATCGACATTGTAGATTTCTCCTTCATGAACACTGACCTTGGATTCATGCGTGTCATGTCAAGCATAATTCACATCTCAGCTGTCCACCTCTATGCTTAGTGTGTGGCCTTGTTTACCCAGCATGCACCTGTCTGGCAGGGTGAAGGCAGTCAGGAAGACACACTGTGTTGACTTTTGTGAGGTATGAAGGCTTTTCATGCAAAGAAAATGGGTTGAAAAATGTGAATCCATGTGTTAAAATGGCTGTATAATTGGATTTTTCTTTTAAATTGCATTCTATTGGTAATCCTGTAAGCAGTGAGTGGTACAAAAGCACAGACTGACTGTATGTTAGGAACACTGTGGCTTGGTGAGCCAGTGAGATTACTCCAGTGAGTATCCCTGCACAACAATGAACATGTGGGCTGCAAACACAAAGATAAACTTAAGTTCTATGATCACAAAGCTCCTTCAGATGCAGAAGCATCATATTATTTACACTGTGTTCGTAATAGTTTAATAGAATGCATTTAGACTAAGTCCCGATGACCAGAAGGGAATTTAAGAGGCATTACCAGTCCTAATATTTTAAACAATGGCTGCTTTGCTTGTGAGTTGCAGATACTGACCAAACCTGTCAGAATTATCACATGTCAAAGCAGTTTTCTAATCTCATCAGACAAGTCTAATGAGTAAAATCATGTCAAAGTGCTTGCCATTCCATTATTGATATTACCATGATGAATATTTTGGAGCAGTGCCGATTCTGCCATGGTAACGTTTTTTCTCCAGCTCACTGTCTTCTCTTAAATGTGTGTAAACTTCCTCCCTCAATAGATGTTTCTCTTGGCCTGCGCTGCAGCTGAAGTCTCTGTGACTGCACCGCTGCCTGGATGTCAGCCCTCGTAGTGATGCAAGCAATTTGGCTGAACCTGTTCAACCCTCAAAAACACATGCAGGAGGAGTCACTTAAGGACTTGCAGTGCACAAGTGCACCAATATCTACATATACATATAAATACACATCTGTCCGAGTCACAAACAAAGGCAGAATTTAATGGATGGTTGATAGAGGAGGTGGAGATGAAGGAGGGGGGGTGCTTAAAGAGGAATGTACAGCAGCTGTTCTGATTCTTGGAAGTGATGCAGGTTGCAATGTCTGCGTGTTCTGAGTGTTCTGGCGTCTGTTGACTCACTGTGCAGATAAAACCTCCTTATCGAAGCTCTGCCTACCCCCTCACTCTCTTAATGGTTTCAAGCTGTAATGTGTGTCCCAAGCCAAAGATGGCATGTAAATACAGTGTGCGGGAGTCAGGTAGGACACCGTACGCTCGGATATGTTTGTTTGTCATGCACTGAGGTTGAAAAAGACATGAGAAGCATAAGGACTCCGGGAGCCGCCAGTGTTTTCTGCTCAGTGTCAAGCTCAACATGTTCTCTTCTTGACGGCTGTGGTTGTTATTGTTTTTAATACCACCTACCGTGGTATAATTATATGGGGTGTCATTGGAAGTTGCCATAAAGAGACTTTAGGAGAGGAGTGCACCATTGGCTGCTGGAAAATATTCCAAAATTGCTACCACACATTAATATGGAACACAATCATTAAAAATTATACTTAAAAAAAACATTTAATTGTCTGTATTCATGCAAAACTGACCCTGGCTTCCTCAGATGGAAACAATCCTTTTGATAATGAATGAAAAAAGACTGAAGAAGTTTCTTTGCTTTAAACATTTAAACCATAACTGAATAATGATGATAATGATAATGATAATGATAATAATAATAATAATAATAAAGCAGTCTGGCTGTTACTTTGAGTGGGAAAACCAAACAAGTAATATCAGAGTTTTACCCCCAACTACCCTCAACCTCTTCTGAACATGTTTTGGAAAATTTGATCTAATATCAAAATGTTCGAGTGTCAGTATCATTGTGGTTAAGTGAGCTTTCAATTTGATGATCAGTTTTCCCTATGGCAAGAATCTGCCGGGGTTTTAACTTTCTTCCCAGTTTTGACACAAGATTGTTCTGCCACATCTGGCGGTGGCGTTTTTAATAACTCCATAATAAAAATCAAAAGTTTTGCTCCGTTCACAAGAGACCCTGAGCTCAGTTACAGAGTAAATGATGATGATGTCAGCTTATTAACGATTCCACAACTTGAAGCATTTAGTTTTTGTCAGGTGGTCAGTGGAAAAAATAAACTTATTTTTTTTTGCATTTTGATTGTGCAGAAGCCAGACAAAAGTGACAAATTTATATTTTACAAGGACTGGACACTTTCCATATCCCACCACTTAAGAAGTCTGCTTTGACATCTACCACTTGTAGCAGCCTCATTATCCCTGTGTTTCAGCCACAATCATGTTGAGTTATGAAAATGCATGGAGCCCATCCAGTGAAGCCAGGTTTCTGAACGGCCACATGGAAATTTGTTGAAACAAGTCCGCTGGCAAATGCTGCTTCAGAGCATGCTTAATTGTTCCTATTTTGCCTGTTGCATGTGAACATGGCACAGCAGGTTGTGTTTAAGTTGTCACCACACTGATGATGCGGAAACCCGACCTTGAAACTTGTTCACTGAGCGTACCCCACCAGTATGCATGCGGCTCTCCTCTTCATTTAAGATATTGCCGTGTCTGAACCCCGGCGACATCACTTCTTATCCTTGTTCCAGCAGCAGTTTCCTATCAGATTTGCATTTCCGTGAAAGCCAACTGAAGAACACACAGTAGAAATGATGGCCCATTCTTTTTTTGCTTCATTTCCTTACTAGAAAGATGAGCCTTGAGCTTGTCATTATGATAATGATGTAGAACAGAAAATCACGGCTACCAACAGGTGGCCTCCAGATGAAGGCCCAGGACCTGCCTGTTTCTGCTGTGTTTAGGATCGGTGCTATTATTAAGAAGGGCTTGTTTCCACTGTTTTTTAGAGTAGTGTTATTCAAATAAGAGCAAGGCTATAGGAAAAATTAGCTGGAAAACTATCTGGACAGTAGTAATGGCACATACTGTAAGCAGGGTGAGTAAATGAGCCTCGGTGAAATTATATCCATATGTGTTTCTGATACTTCTTAAACTTCTCTTCTGCAATAGTTGACGAGAATGATGAAATGATCATAGACTATCGCTACCAAGAACAACAAAAAGTAGTAATGTTAAAGCAATAAAAACATACAAATAACAGAATAAATCATTGTTTTAATGTGAATGTGCTAATTATGTTAGACAACATTGCAGGTAAGAGTTTTATTCATTTTATTCTCTTTTTAGTGTTGCATCTGAATCATACCACAAAAAAAAGGCCAAATACATAATTTAATAAATGAGCCTTTTTTTCTTTTGCTTTTGGAAAACGCAGTGATTTCCAACCAGGAGGCATTGTAGAATGACTGTGGTGTCTCTCAGCTAATTAAAAGAATAGAAAAGATGATCTCTCATTCAAATTAAATGTAAAAAGCTAAGCATTCAGGATGGACTGAAACCCAAAGGTGGTGTGAGACGCATTCTAGCCAGATGTTGGAAAGGTAAATGCAGAAGTCTCTCCAAGACGCATACGGTGGAAATATCAACTCACATGTCTGTTTTTCTTAATGCATCCATGGTCTGTCTCCTCTGGCCTTTTCATAACGACGGCTAACATTACATTAAAATTAGTCATTGTTCTCCGTTTCATCAAAGTAACATGGATAAATGGCGAGTACAGCTCACAATATGATCAAACACAAGGTGCACCGTGTTGCTGTGGCATTTATCTGATCCCTGATCAGTTCAACTGCAGATCAACCATCTGTGTGGGTGAGAGAGTAGTGTGTGTTGTAAACTAACGTTAGCTAATAGTATATATCCTACTATAGGTACTGTAGATATAGTAGGATACAGACATTGTATTTGTCTTGCTAATTTAGCCTTATTTTTTCTTATGCATTGATTTTACTCCCCTGATTCTAGTAGTTGTAATAGTTATATTATTGTTCCAGTACTAAATATATAAGTGAGCAATGTGTATTCACTTTTTTGAGTAATTTAATGCTAATAAGAGACAAACAGACGGTAAGAGAAAAAAGTAGTAGTGTCATAAAGTTGAGCGCTAACCATTTGCAAACACACTCATGTGCGTGTCAAGGATCTCATGACACCCATTGGTGATTGGCCATTATGTCTTAGCAATAACTGCTATTAACATGTCAAATGTTTGAAAATTCAACAAATGAGAATTCCAAATAGAGAACATTATTAGTCTGTAGCATGTTGGAAATTATGCAGGAAAATGATTTTTTGACAGGATGGGAACCCCTGCTGTGTGCCAGAGGATTGTTCCCAGGAAAAACATACCAGACACTGCGTGTTTAGAACAGCAGATGTAAAACCTTTGATGAACTGGCTGTTCATTCAATCAGAATTTATTTATTTTTGTTATATCAGTTGGTGGGAGATTAATGAAACAAAATGTCATGCAATATTATTGCGAGCCTACATATTATTTAGATTCAGGTGGTGGATTTTTCCCTTTCTTTGGTGAGACCTGGCCAGATTTGACACCCAGCGCAGTGGTGAGCAGACTCTTACTTTATCTGAATCTGTGGTCTGAAGCAGGGCCAGGGATGGGGCGGACGTCTGCTAGCGATTAGCACACAGACGGACCGGGCTCATGCCTGTGTTTCCCTTTCGGTTGAGGGGTCTCAGCCAGTATCTGCTCACTGGCCCACCACAACACTCTTAATATTTTTGGCCCACTGTCACACACACACACACACACACACACACACACACACACACACACACACACACACACACACACACACACACACACACACACACATGCACTGGAAACAATCAAAGTAGAAGAAAATGGCACAGGAAGAAAGTGGCCAGAGGTTTGGGCCCCACTCCCCGCATTCTTATTATTGTAGCCCATGTCTGTAATTACAATGTTAACACTGCGCTCTGTGGACCGAACCAGCGGGACTTTGTGGAGAGAGAGAAAACGTGGGGCAGGAGAGAGCCGGATAAAGATTGGATTCAGGAAAGGGGGGATTTGAGGTGGGGGGAGGGGGGCCTTTGGCCAATGTGCGTGTGTTGTGACTCTGTCATGTGTGGTGCTGCAGCAGTGTTTCGGTGGTTATATCAGTGGAAAATTACTCATGGGTGTTTTTCGTTGACTGGTCCAGCTCCTCTTTCTCTCTCCTGGTTGTCGCTGGTGAAAAGTATGGCGTAATGCAACACTGCGAAATCGATCCTTGACTTCGGTTAAAGCATTTGGGTAATATATCTAAATCAGAAGTGTAAATTGTTGAAGGCCATTTGTGGTTTACCAAATAATTTTAAGGTATAGTAATCTCCCCTCTGTGCCTCCTCTAATCACCCTTCCTCCCCCCACCCCCCACTTTACTGTCTGCTACTGACTTCTTTTCCATTCTTCCTCCTGGCAGTAGGTAGTGCTCACATTCCACAGCTAGGCACTGGAGATTTCTCAAATTCTTCCCAGTGTCACTCACCAGTGAAAAGTGGCCAAATCCACACTTGACTCATTGAAAAATCATATAGGCTCATAGTTCTGACTCTGAGATATAAAGGCGCATTGTGAATATTAGCCGCGGTTGTTCTGTTGCTTTTGAACGAGACAGACTTGCCAGTGTTGTGTCTCCCATACAGATCAAACACATGAGATTAATTACCAGAGACGGCTGAAAATGGGTGCACAATACAAATGAGGAAGGGAAATCGCACTCTCCTGTTCCATCTCTCCCATCCAGACACTATTGGCTAAACACTAATTCGGTACCATATAATAATGATGATGATGATGACAATTTTTGTTATGAGACGAGCCCTCTAAAAGCAAAAGGCACTTTAGATTGGACCGCTTTTTGCTTTTTTAGGCCAGGTCGTCAGTTTTCCACTGGAGAGGACGGTTTAGTTAAAGAGCCTTGGCCAGAGGTGTGGGCAGATTGAGATCATCGAGGTCAGCCTCTAGGCCGATAGCAGGACTGAGTGGAAAAGGCATGAGTGTCTGAAGTCACAAGGGCACAAAGACATCCAAGAGGTCCGCTCTGATACAACACACACCACTAGATAGTCTTTTGCCCATGGATTCTCCAGGTCCTTTAAAAGTCAGTTATAAATCATGAAGTAAGTCACAGAAATTGAATCCAAACCAAAAAGTAATAAAAAGGTTTCATCAATCTTTTCTTTTGAAACAGCTCTTAACATTAATAGAAAACACATTTACTGGAGTGTTTTTTCTTGCAATACTTAGAAATTCCCTTTCAGACGTGATTTTCATTTGTTAAAGATTATTTATGTTCAGTAATTTCCTTGTATTTCTTACATTTGAACACTTGAACTTTGACTGTGTTCAGTTTTGAAGTTTTGACATCTTGAGTTTACAGTTTGGCCAACACAGAGTCTTTTAACTTCAGGAAAACTAACTTCAGCAACTTCAGTATAAAACACATCTGAAAAACATATATTCATTTTTCAAAAAAATTAAACTATTGTTTTTGGACTGGTTGGGTGTTTCCAGTGGATGGTATCTGGGGATATTTTAGAGTCGGCATGGCTAGCAGATTTGCTGTCAACCTTGTTGTGGTGCCAGCTAGGCTAACTAGTAGGGATGTAACGATACACTCAACTCACGATTCGATGCGGTTTACGATTTTTTGTTCACGATACGATTTTCTCACAATTGTTTTTTTTTTTTATCAAAATGAGCTACAGACAAATTATGACCAAATAAAATAATCTTTTATTCGTAGGAATAAACTCTGTAAAACAGTTTGTGTCCTCTTATAAAAAGTGCAACTTACATGGTCATCTTAAACAACAAAATACATGAAAAATATCTCCTTCTTTAGAAACAACCTCACAAGTAAACTGGTGTTAACTGGTGTAATTCAATATCTTAAATAACAAAAGAATATAAAATCTTGACCAAAAAAAGAGGTCCTTTCTTAACAGAAACACTGTTAAACACTGTTTTTGTGTCTTGTGAAAAAAAAGTGCAACTGAAGTAGTTATTCACTTAAACAATAAAGAATAACTGGATTTTTAAAAACAAATCCCACATCAAAATAATAACATCAAAACATAAAATCTCTTCAAATAAACTAAGACTGGCTTGTGTAGCTTGAAACTTTCAGGTTTCTCTTGAGGAAAATCAACATGTCAACATTCTCAGGCCGAAGCTGAGATCTTTGTGAGGTTACAACATCCCCTGCGGTCGAGAAGACCCTTCGACTAGGGACAGAGGTGGCTGGTGTGGTGAGGTAAGCCTTTGCTAGAGGTGAAAGCAGTGGGTAAAACTTACTGTTCTCCTTCCACCATTTGAGTGGGCAGCTTGTGAGGGAAATAGACATTTCACTTCTGTACCTGACAATTTCTGCTTCAATCCCACACATGTGATTGGTCTGTGCTGCCCCTACACTTTCTGTGAAACTGAAAGTCCCTTCTAGGAGATCTTCCAGTGCAGTCTTCTTGAGAGGTGGTTGTTGAAGGTCTGCATCCACTATGTCTGCCTGGTCAGCAGGCAGAGCCAGAAATCTTTTCTCTGAAATCTTTTCCAATAAAATAACCAATTGCCCTGGTCATTTCTTGCGCTCTTGCGTTGTTATGGGGGAGAGGAGATGCAAAGCTTCTCGTCAGGGTGGTTTGCCCCCTCTGCAATTTTTGCTCACGAGGTGGTGTAACGTTACTTTGCTTCTCACTGTGGTGGCGGCTAATATGCTGCTGCATGTTGCTTGTGTTGCCGGTATATGTTAGCAGTCTCTTGCAATATTTACATGCCGTTTGGTTTTGTCTGTCCATTTCTCACCGGTTGTATTTGTGTATATGGGGAATCCAAAATGCCGCCACACAGGTGATTTAAAACCGCTCGGTGCGTCCTCTATTTCAAAGTTGTTGCCTACCGTCGCCATGTCTTCCCTCGTTCTGTGCCCCGTACCTACGTAGGGACGTAAGTCACGTGACTTGACGTCCTACGTTGAACAAATGAATCACCAACCAGTGACTTTTTTTTTTAAGATAACGTAACCTATTTCTGGGAAAAAAAAAAAAAGAACGCATCCTACTTCTCTCGCATCCGCGATTAATTTTTTCTGTCAACCGGTGCGAATCGTCACACATTTGTACCGATTTTGTTATCGTGTCACGATGCATCGTTACATCCCTACTAACTAGCTTCCACTTGGAAATTTGAGGCTTGTTAACCTAGTTTGCTAACGTTAGCACTGATTCCCACATCACCTGCATAACAACACAGCTGCTGCACTGGTGGCGTCCATGTTCTTTCCGACTCGTAATGCCCAAAGAAAAATGGAATGCTATAAGTGGTACAAGCCAGGAAATTACGTCACGTTCTCGCGGCAGAGCAACTCGGGCGGGGGATTTACGACACAAATGGATAGCACCATGAGTATTGTGTTCGTCCCACATTTTTCGAAGGAGGCAAGTCTTGCTAGCGTTAATGGCCTTTCTTTTATGGTTCTAACTGTAGTGACGGCAAATGACCAGACTGCCAGAACTCACAGCAACACAGTGCTGTAACCTCGACGCTCTGTACGTTACACAGTGATATGAATCAGCACACAAAGTAATAAAGGTAGGGTTGGAGAGTAATGTGGAGATTGCTCAAAGGACAGATGGGACTAAGCAACAGCTAACAGTGTGGACCCCTGCAGCTGGTTGACTGCCTGTGTGACCATTTAGAATTGAAGCAATATTACAAATTATTTTTACTGACAGTCCACGCAAATTTTACCCCTAACTAAGTTACATTACCGACATCATCAATTGGTAACCATGATGAATAAACAAGAATTCCAGATATGTCAGACTAAATTATTTTGACTGGTGTGTGACTGTCACATTGACTTCTATACAACTGAACGGCTTATGTATGTTTGTAAAAGAGACAGTAGATTTAGGACATGGATGACTTTTCTCATTTTGCACAGTATTGATGCGAGCCAGATGCAGCCGTCTCCGTGCTCCTGTAGGAATGTCACGGGTACTGGGACGCATTAAACATGTTTCCTGTTGTGGAAGTTTTGTAAAGTTCTGCAGCAGGGGGTTTGTGTTAGTTTCCTTCTTCATAGCTTCCTCGTATTCTGTTATATCTTGTGGTGACTTTTAAGGTGGTTTAATGAAATTGTGGTGCTGTCTTGTGACACCACCATAAAGCTCCACTTTTTGTCTAGTATTTGTTTTTGCTTTCATAAAACTTCAAGACAGTGGAATGAACTCTTTTTTTTTCATTATCCCACACTGTTTTGATTATAGTACGTGGGTAGGAGATGTTTGCTTTTTTGAGCCATGCAAATGCTGCAAAATCAAATCAGTTTCTGACGTGACAGTTATACAATAAGAAGAGGACTTAATATCATTTTTACACTAATCTAAGTTCTCACACAACACTGCCAAAGACGACTGTTATCGAAATGATTATTAAATAATTCAATACCCCATCTCCGTCATAAGTACAGTATGATGCATGGCCTAAACAGGACTTACAACAACAACTTGCATGTAGAGTCGGATTGTGCTTTCACAGTCACTTACTTTTGTTTGTTTAACGTGGTTTCCATTCTAAGTCATAAATTCCAATCTGTTTACTTCAAATATACTACTACTACAGTGTAGCCTGCTGAGTAAGAACCCTCCTTACAAAAAACAGTTTGGATATTCCATCCAGAGGAACCACCCCTTTTGTTATGTTATACACAATTTTATAGGACCTTTAAATCCACTGATTGATTTTTACTAGCTTACTGTCTACTCATACATGCAGCCGTCTGTGGGATGCTCACAAAGAGCTGTCATTGAGTTGGAGTGTGTACAGTAGTAGTAGTAGTAGTGTGTCTGTTTGTACACACTAATGCACAGTCGGCGGTACAGTGTGGCTGCAGGGCACAAAGGTAGAGTGTGTGTCTGTGTGTCTGTCTGTCAGGGAGTAATTGAGATGAATCGGTTTTAATGGGTCTTTATGGGATGTTTGGAGTTATTTCTGTCTGAGGTCTCCTCTGGCGTCCTGGCTCCTCTGGAGGATGGCTTGGCCTCCACCCAGTGCTGAGGCTGTTCTACACTTTCTCCTCTGCGCTTTCATTCTTGTGCTCTCTCACCCTCCCTCTCTCACTGGTTCTCACTTTGCCTCTCTCTGTCGTGAGAGAGGGCGAGCGATTGTATGGCACCAAAAGAGTGAGTGAATGTTTGTGTTTCCTCCCGCCCTGCTTCCCTCTCTCAGCGCTGTGACTTAACAGGGGCTCCGGTTTGCCGAGCACTCACCACTCTCTGCTAATCGCAGAGTTCCACTTTAAAAGGACCCAGCGAGTAGTCAAGCCTCGTCCTGACTCTCATTTGTCACGGAGATCACATGGTGGTGCATGAGTTAGGACCCTGTGGTGGCCGCGCAATTACAGGGCTGGCGGAAGGGAGCGAAGCCAGCGCATCCAGCGGCAAGGACGACTCCTCGGTGGCGGCACAGAACTAAACTTTCTCTTCCTGTCACATTTTGATGGACGGCCTGAGGGAAGAGGAGGAATACTATATGGGAAGGCGGGGAGTTACTTACAGTCTAGAGGGGTTGTGTGTGTGTGTGTGTGTGTGTGTGTGTGTGTGTGTGTGTGTGTGTGTGTGTGTGTGTGTGTGTGTGTGTGTGTGCGCGTGCACGCATACAGTACAAGCACAGCAGATTTTGTTTTTGTCATCAACCCTATTTTTAAATTATTCTCAACCAATTTAGTGTTGTAAAAATACAGATCCAACAAATAAGTGTTGGCAACTTCTTCTGGAAAGACTTGCATGGTGTTTTGAAAACTTTTAAAGCACATTATGTGATTCTGCACCAGTCTAACCGCAGCCCAGTTTAGCTCCAAGTATGGACTGTTTTTATTCACTTCTCATCCACATAGTCTGTACACTGTCCTTTTTAGAATGAGTTAGTGCTCTGTGATAACTATATACTGTGTAAATGCATACTGTGCAAATATGCCACTGTTTTTCTAGATCTCTTTTTTACCTCTATATGTCTCCTTTTCACTAAGATGACACTTTAATGGCAAAATGCCACAACAGCATGTGCAACAGTAGGCAACCTGTGAAAGTAGCTTGCCGTCACTGTCAGAAAATGTAAATCAATCAAACCCGAATAAACGTATGAAAAGCTGTTTGTGTCTGCAAGTTTGTACTTGCACAGACTATATACACATGCATATGTGGCTGTGTGGCGTGCACGCACATACCTTTGTAGGGCCCCCATCTGCTTATGTGCGTGAGTGTGTATGTGATTGTGTATATATATGCCATGGAAGAGTGAAAGCCCTGACCTTAGCCTCTGAGGCCATGCCAGGTCATTGGCCGCCAGCCTCTGAGTGGTGAGGCCGCACAGTGGGGAGCGCTGGGTCTGAGAGTGTAGACTGTATGAAAGCAGAGAAGGATAAATGGATGGTTTGGGGGATGGATGGAGGGAGGAGCAAAGAGAAAATGGGTGACGAGGATGAGACAAACCACAGCACAGAGGAACGATGGAGTCAGGAAGGAGGGAGCCTGATGGAGGAAGAGACAGATTGTAGTGAAGACGGAGCGAAGGCAGCAGGATGAGCTCCATGCTGCTCATTAGGTTTGGGTGTGTATGGGAATGGCAGTAAACATGACATTTCCCCTGCAGCCAGCGGAACGACTCCGGCATCTAATGACAGCCCTGCAGCACAATGAGTAGTAAAGCTGCAGCCACCAGAGCTGTCGCCCCGCCCAATTCTACCAACAGCCGCCACCAACCAGGAGCCCTCATTTTGACTCGGAGCCCGAGCCGGGGAAGGGAAGAGGATGTAGCCAGCAGCTTACAGAAGTGAGATGCTGGCTTGGTGAATACAGAACAGGAATGGGCCTCAGATATTTCACCAGCTAGTAAGAAGATACAATCTAATGTTAGTGTGAATGCTAGCCAGCCGCAGTTCCAACTATATTATCTTACCAGATTGAACCTCTAACCTGAGAAGCACATTCAAGTTTTTTTTTACACATAAATCCAGAAGTTGCATAAAGCAGTTACAAGTTTATCTGCTCAGACTTTTGTTTTGTGTTTGCCACCCTTCACTGAAATGAAACTGGTGTCACTGAGGTGATGCCATAGTGTCCTAGCTGGCACTTAAATCAAGCACAGTTCCGGGTGTGTATCCTTGTTTTGTCATGTAATTATTGTCTGGGAAAATTTTAGTAGTAAATGACAAGTTGACTAATTTATAGCCTGACTTCTGAGGAGATTGTTTGCTTTTCTCAGAAGCTAGACAGTGTTAGGAAACATTCAAAATTGATGCTAGACTTAGTCTAAGAATATTCTGCAGAGGAATCATGAAAATAGAATTAAACAAAACCTAAAACTAATATATTGCAACCTCACAAATCAGCTTCCTAGTCACTGGAATTGCTCAATACAGCAACGCACTGAGTTCTCATTTGCAGTATTTTCATGCTTATCCATTTGTCATAACCCATTAACCCACAGCTGTTGTTTTACAATAAAAACTCCCTTTGACATTGGTTATTGAAAGAGCTCCTGCCTCACTAGCAGGATGGCATCTGTTTCAAACTGAAGCCACATTCAGGACCTGTTTAGCCTCACACTCTGTTCCAGCCTCTATCCTCAACTCACCTTCTTTTTTCCGCCACTGGTGTTGATTGTCCACCATTTTCCACTGTCACTATCTACCTTAAGCTTGGTGCACATCTTCTCGCTGTTCTTATTTTGGTAAGAGAATGCTGTTTGATTCACAAGAGGACATGAGCCACTCGGTAATAAACTCATCGGGCATGAGTCCATGGTGTAAAACCATAACAAAGAGACCCACCTGCCAACACGTCCTCCTGAGGTTGTATTGAAAGATTCATGACACATATAACTGTTCTGTCCTCACTCGGGGCATATAATTTCTCCCCTTGGATGCATCTAACTGATCATCTTCCTGCAGTTACCGATGTACTTCCTGTGGCTCCACCACTGTCTTTAAAGTAACGTTTTTGCCCCTGTTGAGATATCCAATTTTACTGACATGAAAGGTGGCTTTCATGGGTAAATACGATGACTGGTTGACTTTTGAGAAAAGGGTCAAACCACACGACGAGAGTGGATGGTTCTGTCTCTTTAAAACCCATCCAACAACCGGAAGCAACTGGGTTAAAAGCTACAGCCACAATTACTATGTAGAAGTCAGAGTGCGGTCACAGTCTCCTGTCAGAGATGTAAAAATGACTCTGTGTTAGTGTCTCACTTTTTCTTTTTTGTGTGTAATTGGACCTCAGGCCGCGAGGTGAGTTGAATGAGTTGGACAGTTGAGGTGTACGACCGGCCATGAGTAGGTTGCAGTCTGACAACAGAAGCCATTATATTTGCCCTTTTGCATAGACTGAATTCACTAAATACAATGAAGCGGAAAGAGAAACTATAACCAAAAATAGAATAGAAAATGTAGTCAAATGTAAAACTGCTTGTGTTTTACTTTTTATATTAATTGAGAAAATGTAACTGTGTATATTTTTATTTTTTTTCCTTTTCCTCTGTGACTGAAATGCAGTGACTTCATCTCGTCATGCAAACTGCATTACCTACTGTAGTAAGGCACCCGGTGCCACTTTGCTGTCCCAGACATTACCACATTTTGCCATTTTTTTAACATATTGTCATATTATGCACTGGCATGCAGCACTATTTCTAGCTAGTGGACTCTTTGCCAGTGACTGTCACATGTGTTTAAGCAGCAGGCTTATGGGACAGGTCTATTAACTGGGTCATGAGTTTTCCCTGGCCCCAGAGTCTGAAATTCTATCCCACGATATTGTAAAAACAGTGGCAGGCTCCTTTTGTGTCAGAAGCATCTGAAGAATGCACTCCTAATGCAGTCAGAGTACTATGATGGGTCTCCCTTCAGAGAGATGACCAGCAGGGATATCCGCGTGATGCTGGTGTCACAGTGTAAATTGGAAGTTGTGTGTGTGTGTGTGTGTGTGTGTGTGTGTGTGTGTGTGTGTGTGTGTGTGTGTGTGTGTGTGTGTGTGTGTGTGTGTGTGTGTGTGTGTGTGTGTGTGTGTGTGTGTGTGTGTGTGTGTGTGTGTGTGTGTGTGTGTGTGTTAGATGAGGAATGGGTTCAGCATCAGGGCGGGGTAGAAGATTGGGCAGCACCACACCTGTATGAGTCATCGCACTAAGGCGAAGCTAACAGCAACATGTCATATCAAGACATCGCCCTACTCTCAACCCCTCGCTTGATTCCTCCTCACTGTGCAGATTGCCAACTGTTGTTATTGTCTTCCAGTGTTGTAATTAACTTCCAAATTCCTGAAGATGGTGTCATATAATCAGTGATTTTTGCACAATGAACTTATTCACCTCAACTGCTTGAAGTTAGCTGAATATGTAGCCTCTGGACACTGACACGAGCACTGAATTTAGCTTCTCCACACTAAAAACTTTTCAAGAATCTTTGCATTCCAGCTTTTAGATAGTTCAGCGCACAATACAAGGTCTTCCAGTGTGCCCCACCAGTAAGAGGCATGTTGGCATCGTATCAAGTATAGTGTCTTAGAGTGACACAGTGCTGACTCATTTAGCCCCCAATGTGTGATAGTGGTACGGTCTCCCGCAGATATTTAGTGCTTCACAGCCAAACCCAGGACCACAGCAATGTAAACATTAGCCTGTTGAGCATCAGCATGAAGCCCCAGAATGCCCCTGTGTTTGATACTATGTGGTCCTGTTGGAGGGGAAAAAATGTCAGGCTTAATTTACAGTACCATATAGACATGTGATGCTCATTTCCAGTGGGTTATTATATTATTTGGCTGTTTGGCTTGGTTTGTGGCTTTGAGGGAGCAGTATCCCCCCCCAATGTTTATTTAATGTTTATTGTGTAGTGCCGTTGTTTCAGTGGAAAACTCACACTCCAACTCACAACTCCAACATATTAGTCTCTAAATCCTGTTGAAAGTTTTACATTCTCTAAATCATGCAGACGACTACCTGCACATCGCTTTTTGTAAGTTTTAGAGTTGCAGAGGTGTGTATCCAATTTATTGCTGGAAACAAACAGAAATACAACAACTGGGTAGAGGAGGGGAAACGGTTTGCTGAAGTTGCAGAGAACAGACATAGATTTGGTCTGGACGAGTGGCAAGTGGACGGGATTATAGTATAGTATGGGTTTTATGCTGTGGTAGATAACGGGTGGAGTAGAGGCATCCTTCTGCAGTAATGTCAGGTTACAAAAAACCCAAACGCAAATGCCTGGGAGTCCGAGACCTCTAATGTCCATGATTGTCCCGTTGGCCCTGTGTACCAGCCTAAATCAGCCCTCCAGCTCATACTGTTGTGTCATATCCATTTTTCACACACACACACACACACACACACACACAGAGCGACACAGCCAGACACACATGCAGCTTGAGGGTAGTAAGCAGATATAGCATACCGCAGCAGGCAGTATGTGAACCACTCTTTACTTGGTAACACCCGTCTCCCGGCCCACATACAGCCTCAAACATGGCACCTCCACTAGTTAGGCCTTCACCTCTTAGTGTATCTGGACACAATGTGAGTGTGTGCATCCTTAATGCAGATAAGCTCACCTTCACATTTAAGAGCAAGCAGTGACAAGCTCTTTGCATGTTGCTAAAATCTTGCATCCATTTCCCATTAGCCCTTTAATTATGACACTGCCTGATTTCTGCTTCAGACCTCTTTGAAATTTTCATTCAGTGCCTGAGTACATTAAGCCTGTGCTGCTTACAGGAATGTAATGTGATGATCAAGTGCGACTGTTACTCTTGTGAATATTAATAATAATAATAATGATAATAATAGGTTTTCTTGATTTGAGTGATATTTGGTTCTACATAAAGATCACCCCTGAAGCTCAACTAACAAGTCTGAACTCTGATGTGACTGAATTGGCCAACTGGTTTGCAACCATGAAGGAGGGGGATGCAGAACCCTTTGTAATCATCTGTATGTGTCTTTGTATTTCAGTCAGTGGTGAAAACCGGACGTTTGCTCATCAGTCACGAGGCCCCAGTAACCGGAGGCTTTGCTTCTGAGATCAGCTCTACAGTACAGGTGAGTGTGTGCAGTCTGTATAAGAGAACATACTGTATGCCATGAGCTTTTATTGGGACCTGTAACTCGCAGGGGTAGGAGGTGGCCTTCAGAGGTATTGGTCTTAATAGGCTGCAATGGTTTTGTCAATAAAAGCCCCACTTTGCAATAAAACTCAAATAGCCTTTCTCTGAATGCCCCAGAGCAGTGGTTAAAACTGTGAGGAAGGGAAGTGCGGAAGAGTCAAGGGGAGCCGTGTTGCCCTATTGATATGGCAGGCATAGTCATCTCCGGTGGTCCCCAGAAAAATTTGCAATATCACAGTAATCTAAATCACTACACATTTTCTCAGTTAAAAGATTTTAAATAATTTGTCATAGAATTCACTTTGTTGACCATTAACCCTTTTGGCAACATAGTATATACAAATTCAATTTCAAACAAATATTTATCTCAAATTGGGTTTGTTTTTGGCGAGATCATTATATGAAATCACTGACGGCACTTTAATGTACAGTTCACTGTGTCAATGATACTGATATTGCTGTTGACTTATATTTGTGACCAACTGATGCAATTTATATATTTTAATATTAAAAATCACACTCCTTCTACAAACTACCGTCTGAGTCAGTGTGACATTTTCAGAGGAAATGGGATCTCGCTTTAGAAGTCATAGAATAAAGATACTACTCATGACTTCAGCTCTTGCCTTGTAATCATTACATTAGGAACTTTTCTTAAGTATAAAAAGTAATTCGGTGGATTTTATGACTCTTCATGGTGCCAATTGGCCAAAATGTAAAGAAATGGGACAAAAATGGGGCTAAAAATTTACGGCTAACTCACTGACATATATTGCCTGCTCGTATCAGCCAAAGTATTTCGGGGACTGTAGTTCCAAAACTTGGAAATTTTTTCTTCCAAATAGAAGTAAGAAAAAAAATATGATGCAATAATATTTGATTTTTTTGTTTTTGTTTTGCACTATTAAAGCATTTTTTGTTGGTACTATGGCCCAAAATTTCTCATCAACATGGTTCTTATAACCCTAGAAAAACACTGATACTCTCCTCTATAGACATTTCCTATATGTCAAAAACATGTAGGCTTACAGGCAAGAAATCTAAGAATTTTAAATATATGCATAAAACAATCACACTGGCCTGAAATAATGTCCTACTAACCCAACTTATTCTATCAAACAAGAGCCTTTTCAAGCAAAAATAGCCAATTAAAAGGATTAATGCCTACTAAAGGAGTATTTAGATTGTATAGAGAATAGTGTTGTCACGATACCAAAATTATTGTTTCGATAGCGATACCAAGTCAAGAATTGAGATTTCGATGAAGAAAATGAAAATAGTTTGTGTGTGATAGTAACAATAACTTGTGACTAACTTAGCATCTCTATATGCAGTGGTTATAGTGATAACTGCTAACATTTACTTAACCATAACATTACCATAATTAATAATAGGAAATAGTGAGTTAACCTAATGTTATTTAAGCTGTGATATATGGATTAATATAGGCTAATGTTTCCTGTACTTCAATGTCTGATTTCTTTGATGGTTAACTTTATATTTGAGTCCATAATTTCTTACAAGGCGTTTCACAAATACACCTCCTTTGCGTAGGTCTGTGCTCTTTAAATGCTGTAATAACCCAATAGAAATAAATCACTGACAAACATGCACATGCTCTGATTATAATCATATAGCCTATATTTCATTTTAGCTGATGTTTTGTGTGCTTTATTTTAGCAGTTTGCAAATTATTAACGTTATCTGTGAAAGTTGCGTTTTCAGAGATGTTGAATTAGCCGTAGGCAGGCTATTGGTTAGCCATGAGGATAATGCCCATAGTTAGCCTACTATTTCTCTAGATAGCCTCGTCAAACTACGGTGGTGCAAAATAGTGACTTCTCACAAAATAAACCATAACCTTCTCATTTGACTTATTTAAGGGCATGAACCTGGTCGTGTTATCTTTCACATACTAACCTGTCGGTCTTTAAACTTTTCCTACTACTCGGCGTGCTTGTCGGCCAAGTGTTTCTCCAGGTTCGAGGTGTTGGCTCCCATTGTTTGCATTTGTTTGTAGCACTGACGACAAACAGGTCTCGACTTATCGGTAGCTTTGCCCTCACTGTCAGCAATGTAGGCAAAGTACTTCCATATTTCACTCCTCGCGTCATCTTTTTCTACCAGTCGTGGACCGGCGGCCACAGTATCACTTGTGCTCGCACATGCAGCGATCTCGTTACAGTGTTTGTCACATGACAGCTGCAGCTTCTTTGCTGCGTGCGTGAGGAGAAAAAACACGGAAGTCCATAGGGAGACACTGGAAGCATGCGTTGCACACACCAACATGAAATACGACTCTTTCAAATCTGGAACGCGGTCATTCTTAAAAGTATCGATACTAATAAATTTAGGAATAGTGACGTTTTTAATTTCTGAGAATCGCGATACTTTTGAAGTATCAGTGCACCGTGCAACACTAATAGAGCAAGCATAAAATAAAGCAGCTTCCTCTCAACAGTTGTATATGTAGTGGCACAGGGGGTGTTTTGTAAGTTTATGTTACTCATCTGAGATTGTTGATACAGTGGGGCTAACTACCCATATAAGGTTTACGAAATATTGCTTGTTGCTGGCAATACCTAAGGCCTGGACACTGTACCCAGGACATGCCAGAGACAAATTCTGAGCTAAGTGTGATGCATGAGTAAATGAAAAGTCTTCCCCTTCCCATCATCCTAATTACATCTATTTTTGCGTGGTGAGATAATTGTCCTCAGTATGTGGGGTGTATTCTCCCTGTGAGGCTTTTAGGAGTGAGTACCACTCTGCTCTCAGTGAGTAATTTGCCTCAACAATGACAACTCTCCCCTTTATACCCACCTCTTCAAAAGTCATAGGTCTAATTGTATGCGTGGCACTGTATGTGTTACCTGTAGCTGTTTGCTTGTTAATGTGCATGAAGTCAGAGCTGAGGAAGTAAAACCAATCGACCCTCTCCTCATTTACTGTCAGTCAGATGTTGCTCTCTCCCCCTCTCAGTGAAGGCTTAAATGCCCAGTGAGTCATCACCATCATTTCCATGTTTCCATGTTTTAACATAGTGTACGGGTGATGTAAGTTGTTGGTGTGTTCACTGATTGCATTGATCTGCAATTTCTCTTGGCCCTAGGCAATTTGGATACATTCACTGGAAAGAAAACCCTGGACTGATTGATAGCTGTGTTTTTAAAAGGATGCAGCTCGATCTACAAGCCTCCATCACACTGTTATATGGACTGTACTACTACTATGTTAGAGATATTCCTTCATCGAAGAGAAAGTGATATGCTTGTTTTGACTTTCTCACAAATAAAAGGTATGATGGCCCACAGTAGCCGTTAATAGCCAAAAAGCCAGTCCTCTTAAAGGACCAGTGTGTAGGATTTAGTGCCATCTAGCAGTGTTGTTGCTGATTGGAATTCACCCTCCCTTTCCAAGTGCGAGGGATAAACTACGGTGGCCACAAAAGGCGCGAAAAACATAAATGGCCCAATCTAGAGCCGGGGTTTTGTTTGTCTGTTCTGGACTACTGTAGAAACATGACGCTTCAACATGACCGCTGCCACAAAAGGCAACCCAGGTGTCTATAGATAAAAACCTCTCATTCTAAGGTAACAAAAACATTACGATTCTTATTTTATACTTTATACCTATGAATATTATATTCAATTACTGCCAATAGATTTTCCTAAATGTTACACACTGGAGCTTTAAGTGATGTGTTTACTTTTTTTTGTATCTTGCTGGAGAAGGTAGTGAGTGGGGACTGAAGTTCAGGTATATTTTGGCAAAAATACAAATGTTTGGTATACAACAGGCATATGGATGGACAGAAGAGAAGTGGATTATGCTGCTTGAGTGCTTCATTAATGTGTAATCACCTGAAAATAAGAATCATTATGTTTTTACATACCATTTTACCATTACCATTTTTATCTACAGAAGGAGCGAGTCCTCTTCTACAGTGTCCACCATGTTGAACTGCCATCATTCTACAGTAGCCCAGAACAGCAAACCAAATACTAGAGTCTCAAGACCACCATAGTTTCTCCTACATGCTTGGAAATGGAGGGTGAGGCATTGGCGCTGCAATCAGCAACCACACCACTGGATGCCACTAAATCCTACACACTGGTCCTTTTAAAAAATTCAATAAAACATCTTTTATATCTACAGGGGGTGAGTGGCTGATACACAAGGCAATGAGATTTTGGGTGGAGCATTGTTTTAACTCTTTCCAGATAGAAGAGTGAGATCACAACCTCAATGACTCACCATAAAATATCTTGGATGTGGTGTAGGTTTTACTTTATGGCTGCACATTTCTGGATAGAATAAGAAAATCATCAGTTTCTCACCCAGCAGAATATTATGGTCAAGATTTTTTTCCCACAGCTCTTAAGGAAGTCGTTTACAAATGAAAACATTTATGGAATTAATTCTTGTCTTCATATGGACAGGAACGCAACATACAATAGGATTGTGACCAATATTTAGAATTGTTTCTATTATTTTGTCCACCACCATTTTAATGGGATAACAATATATAACATTTTTAAAAAGTCGTCCAAGTTTAACAGGCTTGGATGATGCTCTCACTCAGACAGTCTTGACAATCGCCACAACCAGGGCAAAGGGCCACAGGTCGGATTGGAACCATGGCTGTTGCAGCAAGGATTCAGCCTTGGTACATGGGGTGCTCTACCAGGTGAGCTATAGTGTGCACCTCTTGGTAGCAAATTGTGTGCCCCCTCCTTGTTATCCAAGTTGAAATAACTTTTGACCTATCTTTATACTGTGCATCAAGCATGGTTGCAACGGAATAAAGGGCCTTGCTTTGCACACCATTAAAGCAATCACTGACGGCTTTTAATAGGGTTCTTTTTAGCTGTTTGCTATCTGAGTCACTTCTCCTGCCAAGCAGCCAGTGTCGGATGACATCTGCAGAACTGATCTCTTCTCAGCTCTGAAAATTATCTGAGACTGGTTATCGTGTCACGTGGCTCAGTATAGTCCACAAATTTGTGGAACCCGACATATTCAGCAAATGAAAATGGCTGGTTGTCCAGAGCAATACTCCAAGAGTTTCTGAGTGATGCCTTTGGGCCTGGGGTGGTTGCAGTCACATTTTTTGCTTTTGTTAAAGAACTGGAGAAGAGGCTGCTGACAGTTGTTTTTCTACTGGTGCCTGTTTCACATATTTCTTACAGTGACCGTGATGAAAGGGTAAATAAATTTGTAGCGTTAAAGGAATGTGATTTGTGTCCTCGTCGCATAACAGATGCTAAGCAAATATTGCAATTAGTACTTGTCCCTCTTTTCCTCGAACAGATACGATGAAGTAATTTTTGGCTCACGAAACACCCTCATACCAGGGAGTGTCAACGATGTAAGTTAATGGTAAAATTATAGCATCATCTGATCTTCCTCTCATATTGGAAGAAATTTTCATTTTAGGCAGATGCTGATGTTTAATTTGCCTACATCATCGTGCATAACTAATAGAACTTAAAAATCTTGGACTCGATTGAATGGCTGAGGATTTTCTCGATTCATTGTTTGATCAGTTTGTTTATAAAATGTCAGTAAATACTAAAAAGTACACATTACAATTTCCCAAAGTTGAATGTGACATTTTCAAATCACTTGCTCTGACCAACAGTCCTAAACCCAACAATATTATATATATATATATATATATATATATATATTTATATATATATATATATCCTGCTAACCTATATAGTCTATGTACTGGGAGTGCTTTAGACCATTATCTCTGCAGAGAGTGGTTACTACCTATCCACCTCAGGCCCTTCCATAAAGATCCATTTATGGATTTGATTTCCTCTTTTGTATAAAGACCAGAGGGGAGTTTGGTGGGGCTTGGCAAGTTTTCTTTGTCAAGCTTTGGCTTCAGCCTTGGTGATTTAATAATGTGTCATTGGCTGGCCCCTTCCTGAGTGTTTGGCTGATGACTGTATAGGACAGAGTAGGACGGAATGAGATGTGGCTAAAGACAATGCTTTTATGGACCTCAGGGATGCACAGAGAGAAATGGAGAATCACCCTCCTTCCCTTCACTTTCAAACTCATGACAGACTTAACTATAGTTGATTCACATTTCAGAAAGTACACACTTGTGTATGCTGATGATTTGGTTTTAGAAAAGAAAAGTAATATTTTTTCCATTAGTTGTCAAAGAAATAATGAAATGCTATGTATTTGTGGCCACTGTGTTTTACAAGAACTCTAAGCTGCTTAAAACAAACTACAGAACATACCAAATGTACAATACAGTATTTAAAGATGGCAGCTTTGTAGCTAAGGTTGTTTTAACAATAGTTAATTCTACACACAACCATATATTCACAGTTCATTCAGGGTGTCAGATCTGATGGGCCCTTGGATTGTCTGTTCCTAGTTCTACTGCTAGTGCTTTCCATTATTTGTGTACAAGAGTCCAACATCCAACACAGCACATCCCACTGAGTTGTGGTACTGTTCTGGGACATTCAAAGACTACCAACTCCACTCTGGCCCCGTTAGTGTTAGCTGAAGATGAAGGCTTGCATACTTTCTCCAATAAATCCTTCTGAATCAGAATCAGCCTGTCAGGCTTGCCTGGATGAGAAGCAGAGTTGGCCCAAGGCCTATGGTGTCCAACTGTAACAGTCCATCTCCATCAGGGGATACACTAAACCCCTTCAAAGGGCAGTGTTTATTCCAGAGGCGCCTTTAAAAGCCCTGAGAATTGGATACAGGTATCCCCACGTTGGGTAAGGGGGTTATGGAGGTTGTATAATGGTGGTCAGCTGCTGCTCATTCCCGCTCAATAGCCTAAAGCCTGACTGACTCATTAGCCATTTCTTCGCTTCATACAACTGCAGGGTGTTGCGCAAAGTCATTTCTCAACTTCTGAACTAAAATCACTAATGCAAGTCAGACATTTTCTCTGTTGAGTTCAATGTCAGAAGTAATAATCAAAGTAATAATCCTTCAGATTTTCATGAAATCAAACCTATTTATGGTTGACGTTTACAGCAACCGCCATTCAGTGTAATTATAACTCCTCTGTATCATTGTAAGTGGTGGAGTCCACCATTACAAACCTGGGGTTCAAATTGCCCTCACACATGAGGGATTCATAGGAACAATACATGTTAGTTTATTTAATTGATATTTACCTCACTGTTAACACATTGTATTTTAGCAATAATAGTAGAAAATATAATAATAAAATTGAATTAAACAGCTTAGGTTTAGAAACATGTTGAAGAATGAAAACTAGTTTATATCTTTTCTCAGTAGAAATCCAGCTGGTTTGGAGGAGTGGCATTGCTATATGCTATATCTTAGCTGATATAGCAAGTGATATTGGCACTTTCCTACCTCTGTCTGACTGCAACCCCCAATCTGTGGGTGTTTCTGACAAACTCAGATTTTTGTATGACAGGAGACACAATATCATCACTGCAAATCTAAGCCCCTGCTGTGAAGTATTTTTGAATAGGAAAGAAGAAGCATTTTGGCACTGCCAGTTTGACATATTTTTATTCTGACATTTAAGCATATGACATATAATGATGCACTTCCCAAAAGATAAACACCGATTTGAATGAAATCTGAGTTGTGTGGCCATTCTCCATTCAGCTGTGGTGGCAGGCAGGCAGACTACTGTACTTTTCTCCCACTTCCAGTAAATGTATTTAGAGGAGATTACAGATGTGATCCAGACAAAAGAGCAAACTCCCTGGTTCTGTCTGACTGGTTGTCTGTAGTTGGGCAGAGAATAGATCTTGAGGTTGTAATCTTGATGGACACGAACAATCACATTGTCACTTCATCAATACACTGAGATGACCAGAAAGAAAGATACCATGTGATGTTTTTTGAGGTCATTGGTGGGATTTTCTTTCCTCTTTGTTCTTCTGCATAACATGCTCTCAAATGAATATTGTAAGAAAGACAATTGAGCTTTTCAGTCATGCCTGCATAGAAGCAAGTTTGTGTAAATGCTGTGATTGTGTGTTGATCTAGACGAGAAAAGAAAACTCTCATAATGTGTGGGCCTTCCACCTGCCTGTCAATTCAGAAGGGATAACATCCATAACCAGCTTTGCTCCAGGCCCAGCTTATTCATGTACACTCCTGTTCAACTTCAGCATTCCCAAGTTTGTACGTTTTTCCAGTAGATGAGACTGAACTTGAGCCGAAGAAAACACCAGTTCCCTATGTAAGATAGGTGCCAGGTATGGCATGCAATAATGAAATAAAAGAATCTTTAAAACAAGACTGAACTGTTTTTGTGAGTATAGAATCAGTACTTTAATATCCAATGACATCAGCCATGGTGTAGCTTGCTGGAAACAATGTATGCAGTCTGCTGTATACTGTAGCATCACTGTTCAGTGAAAACCTTGTATTTTAAAGAAAGAGCTTTGCACAATCCAGAGTGACTGGGTTTTTTTTCCTTTACTCGCATACCATTTTTTAAAATACGCAACTGACTTTGAATGCGCTACATAGACCCTAAGGCCATGGACATTTGTCAGCACATGAACGCAATCTGCTTAAGAAAACTTAAAAGGAGAAAAAATTGAGAAAATACCAAGATTTGGCTTTAACATCATCAGTGGTACAGTGGCTGTTGTCAGGATCTGCCACAGCCTGTTGAAGAGAATCAGTCTCAGGTTGATCTGAAACCCACAAGGATGGAGGAAACCGAGCAGTGAAGAGGAAAGGAGGGTTTGTTGAACTAGTTGTCTCCATTCAGTGTACATTAATTAAAGCTAATCATAGTTAATTAGCTGGGTGGAGCAGACTGCAAGTGCAGGGGTTACAGGAGTCCAACTGCCAGGCAGATAGCAGTGCCAGCAGCATAGGGACCATAGAGCCCTGTACATCACATCAGGTGGGGCTCCCCCTGGTTTTGGGGGTTTTCTTCTTACTGGCACCAAAACGGAGAGACAACATGACAAGGCTGGCCTCTCCTCACTGGTAATGTTTCATTATACCTGCTAAACATGAACATTTTAGCATTGTAATTATGAGTGTGTTGGTATGCTGACTTTAGCATTTAGCTGAAGTACCTCTGTGCCTTAAGAGTTGCTAGCATGGCTGTTATCTCTTAGTCTTGTTCCTGTGTCATTAATTTCTTCTTGGATCCAAACTTGATTCTTCTGGATTTGTCTTCCTACTTGGCAGTCCTTTGAATTCAGTGATACAACCCAAGACTTGTCGTGCAGGCAGGAAAGCTCTCACTGTAAGATGTCAGCTCCATAGGCACACGAAGCAGCAAGCTTCTGCTGCAGTGTCTGTCTCGCTCCCTCTCTTGTTGTGTTGCATTTTTACAGGCTGTAAAAGTACCAAAGCACAAAAGCCCTCTGATCAAGTCTGACATTCCCCTGGACTCTGCCAGAGGTTTTATAAGAAATGAAAAACATAGTGTGAAACATACAAGTCCTGCCCTGCCGAACGCTAAACTTCTCCATGGCCAAGCCAATTGGTGGGTTGCTAATGTGGGATTTCATGCATGGCGATGCTGTCAGTGTCTCAAGAAACAGGTCAAAATCTGTTCTGTGTCTCTGTTAGAGACAGACTATGCATGCACAAGCAGGCAATCCACAAAGAGGGTGCTGTGCAACTCCCTCGGAGTCAACTAGTATGCTTTCGTTTCGGTTGCGTGAGTTGTTTGCAGGTCAGTTTAATCTGAAAGAGGGTACTTCAGGTCTGTTTCTGCAAATATGTGTGCATGCGTCCAAGTGTGTTCATTTAACTCATCAGGGGGTTTGTCCCATTTGGAGTGTTTTGGCAGAACTTCTTTCTGCTTTGTCTCCATGGGAAGAGGTCAAAAGTCAATATAGAGACACGAGTCATGGCTTGTTTTGCACTCAAATTGCCTGAACACTGGCCTTTTCTGAGGACCCTGAGAGAACCATTTGGGCTTGTAAATCAGATATGGCCAAATAAATGAAATTAAGTTGTCAAAATGTTTAATCTGTTCTAAGGTAGCCTGTTTTTTTTTTTTGCAATCAATATCATATTTCCGCTCTGGGTAGTGTTGGAAACTGGGGATAAACAGGGTATGCCATACTGAATGAACATACTGGTGACAGCAGCCTATATGAAGCCGTCAATGTTTTTACCAGTGTCAAACACTTAAGGATCAGAGCAGATGCAGTCTGAACATATTCGCTTGGCTTCCCTCCCAGAATGAATAATCTTTGAGCACTGACGTCATTCAACCCATAATGAGTATTTGTTATCATCTGTGTTTTTCTTTTTCTTTGCAGGAGGGGTGCTTCCTTAACCTGGAGGCTCCCATTAGTAGGGTCTGTGGTTACGACACACCCTTCCCTCACATCTTCGAACCATTCTACATCCCAGACAAGTGGAAGTGCTTTGAAGCAATCAGGAGGATGATCAACTACTGAACCCCTGTCAGGTAGGAAAGATCTGACGGCTCCCTTTAAAGGAAATTGTCGATGAGATATTATATAATTTTCAAACTCTTAGTGTATATTAAGGCCTGTCAACAATTGGCCTATAATTTGCATTATTTATTCCAGTAACGTAGTCGTAAAGATATGAAAACTATGGCCTGCCATCGGTAACACACTACCATCATTAGAGAGACAATTTAATTGCATTTTGTATTTTCTTTTCCTACACACTTTTACTTATCTGGTTTAATATAATCCTCCACCAGACATATTACTCTTTATTCTTATCCAGACATCACAGGATAATACACACTCCAGGGCCCTATTCAAACATAGTATCATGTTTATCTCGAATGCAGCTATAGTAACCAAGTGGGATTGTATTTTATTTCCAAGCTCGCATTGGATTTTATCTGTGGAAAGATGCTGTTAAATAGGAAAAAATGCACATTTGCACCTGGCCATGTAGCTTTGTATACAGGCTGAAAAGTGTGTGGATCCTTTTACAAATTTCCTGTTGCCAGTTTGGACAATTAACAGACACTGACTTTATGCTAAGCCACCTATAGTAAATAATATAATGTTTCTGGCATTCATGCAATGTTGTGTTGTCCAGAAGCCACCACCAAAGGCCTAAGTAGACCATTAAAGGATTTATGCAAGATGGAAAATACAAATACAGTTCTAAAAAGTAAGCAAAACATTTGGACCAAACAAAATGGATCAACATTGTTCATGCACTGTAGAGTACACCTTCTTAACTAGCATTGATGTCATAATTAAAGGTCCAGTGTTTTAATGGAGTATAATACGCAGAAACACAATATTTTCAATAGTGTATAATCACCTGTAAATGAGAATCATGGTTTTGTTACCTTAGAATGAGTCTTGGGTGTGGGCCTAGGATCTAGAACTGAAACAATTACCTGATTAAGTTTGATGGAGAGAAAATGAATCTGTAGCAACTTAGGTTCTCCTCAGAGACAGAAGCCCAGGTAAAATTTGGACATATGGCTCAACCCTGCAAGGCTGTCTGTGTGCTCAAGGATGTGTTTGTGTTTACTCATGTGGACAGACTTTGCGAACACTAAAGCCTCCGAATGTGAAGCTTTAGCATTCAGGGGATTCCGAAGCACCTGTTTTGGCTGCATTCACATCTGTATTTAGAGCTGCCGACTTGTAATCAGACCACCCAAGACTGATTTTTAGTGCCCGAGTGTTAACAGGGCCTACATGTCATGCCCCATTTAGTTGTGTAACTTCATTCTGCTATCTCATCCTGGAGGCGTGTTATTGTCTGTCATTGGTTGCACAAGTGTTGAACAATCCTTTTAAGATGGGACAGCCAGCCTGCCAAACTCTTTTGTAATCCCCTTTTAATTGTCAGTGTCCTCTTGAGTTATAGCTATTAAAATGTTGGCTTTGATCAATAAGGTGGAGGGAGCCATCACCTCTTATCCTCACTGCTCACCATCTCCATCCAGCTCCACTTTTCCTCCTCATCTGCCATCCTCTGTGGATCGCCAAGTTATTCCCTTTAACTTATTGAACCTCTCTCCTCTTCTAGAGCCAACTTCTGGTCGCCCTAAACTCCACGCTCTCTCCCTTTTCCTCTCCATTCATCCAATCAGTGGAGAGCTGCCAGGAAAAGACACTTTGTTGACCATCCAATCGGGAAGCAGTATCCAGATGTCCCTCTGGGTCCTCCAGCTAAAAGACTGTTACAGTACCTCTGGATCAGGGAACCTCATTCTGTTGCAAGGGGAAAATGACTTCATCCACTCTATATGGTGAAATTCTATTTTAGACTCAACATAATGCACATAATTTCATTTCCTCTTAAATAAGACTTGGATACTGTGGGGTTTATTAAGTTGAATTTGTGACTGTCTGCCTTCCTTTGCTGTTTTGATTTAATGTGTTTGACTCTAATCTTTATTTAGTTTGACATAAACTGGCCTGTGTTGTACTAATATAATGGACCTTTGGTTTTCAAGGAAAATAAACTAATCAGAACTGGTGAAAACACTTGCGTTGGTGATTTGCATTGCTTTGAATTTGTTGGGATTTTACCATGTCATTTTGGCAGAAAAACAAGTTACTTGTCCTAAGAGGTTGTCAGGGGTCATGGGATTAAGAAAAATGTATACCAGTCTGCAAATGCGATACATCTTTTGACGAAGTCTGGGAATTTTACTATTCCAGTATATATTTTACAACTTGCTGAACATATTTATTGCATTAGCTTTTGATTTTTCAGCCAGCTGCTCACCCTGTTCACCCTGCTGGGAAAGCAGAAGAACTTCTTTCAGTTACAGAAGCACTTGATTTGAAGATGTTAAATTGAATTTTACATCATGGCCACTGCTTGAACTTTTGTCCCCCTGTAAAGATTTAAGACCGTTCTATTTTATCACTAATTCCATAAGAAAATTGTCTTTCCTTGTTAAATTTATTGTCCCTCTCTTGCCATCTAAAATTTTGATACGGACAGTCATGAATCATGGAATTGTTAGAACCGTGTGTTCTTCTACTCCACGAATCATAAACTATTTCTTAAATGACAATGAAAACCTGTCAGGAGTTTCAGTTCTGCCCATGCCTCCATTAGGACACACCGTTGAGAATCAAAATCAAATCAAATCAACTTCTCCACCAGTCTGACAGCTTGTCATGTGTACAGGAAAAAAAGTGTGATAAGAAAATCAAGCATAAAAGTTTAAAACATGCTGAATTAAGAATGCCATAACTGTCCATATAAAGTTTGACCTCAGGATGGCGTTAGAGAAAAGGTCACGGTAACCAAAAAATCCGAAGGACTCTTCCTCTGGAGACTATGAATGTGCTCAG